CGTAAAACACTCAATTTTTACATACGACGATTTCCATTATCAGTAGCGATATGCATGTTCACAGTATGTATTGGGATTTTTTTTTAATCAGGATTCATCAAATACGCGATTTACAAATGTGGAACTCTTCCGCATTTTAGTATTGACTGACGAACAAAATTCGTGGATATTAAACCCGCGAATGTTATGGAATTACTGTATTTCCTTAATTGGCTTCTTCCAGAGATTTTATTCTCATATGAAAAATTATAGACTTTCAAATATCGATATTGTTTAGCCAATGAAAACGGCGAGAAAACTATACTGACTTTACTTGGCAGATGGTTTTCAAATAAAATCGAATTTAATTTCCAATCAATATAGTCTACGTTTCCTTGGCGATTTAAACCATTAAATTAATAAATACATTATCTTATTTCTATTACAAAACACTTTTGCAGCCTCCTTTTTCCTCTTTTTTACCTATCCTAGAAACCACAGTCGGCCTCCACTGACACCCATTCTGCCTTTTCAGTACCCTTGAGTCTGTCGTGATTGTTGGAGCTAGGTAGGTTTGTCTCTTGTTGTCACTATTAATTTACCTATCCGCCAACATCTAACCCAACCCACTATTGCACAACTTTGACTATTTTACCTTTTATTTTGTACCTTTCTAAATGTATCTCTATTTTCTAGTTTACTTTTTTTCAATTTTCATCACATTAGTTATCGTGTATGATGTATTTTGACACATTTTTATAGTAATTTAATGGTTACTACAGGTATTAATTTCCTTTTATCTATTTCAATAAATTAATATACATTACATTCATACAGAGTGTCCCGTAAGTAAAGGGAAATAAGTAAAGTGTTGATAATAGATCTCAAAAGATACAAAAAAGTTTATTGGTTCGATTTTCCTTGAAAAACAGGGAAATAATGTTTTGTGTTTTTAAAGTAGGAAGTGAACGTTTTTTATTAAATAGGAAGTGATGCCAAAACAATATGGCATTTATGTAATTAAGAAATGCTTCATATTAAAAGAATAATATTTCCTTCAAATGAAAGTAGAGTTTGTCTTTGTTAAAACTTTTCAAAGGAAACTTTTACGAAGCTATAACTACGCTTTTTGCTGTTTTTCATAGTCATGGATTATTCATGATAATATATATCATCACTCTCCAACTGGACTACAGATACCTCACTCTTGTAAAAACTTCTTTGTTTGCTAAGCTTTAATTCCAGATAAATTTGGTTGAGTTTTGAAAGCAAATGAGTTGAAATTCACCTTTAGAAGTGTTAAGAAATTAAGCGATTTTCTATTTTGTCTCCCCGGGCCACCTGTGTTTTCAACAAAAATAACTGCAATAAATTATTACAAAACTCCAATTAATTCTTTTCCCGTGACCTAGGATGAATTACGTTAGGTTAACTAAAAAAATACGCTTTCGTATTTAGGAAAAAAAATTCAGAAAAAGACTTTTTCAAAAATTTATCATCTAAAGCAATGATGAACCAATATTTTATAAAGATTGTTTTCATATTAATTATTTGAAAAGTCCACCATCTAACTGTTCCTAATCCTAATAATTATGTCTTCATGAAAATAATTCAAGCAATTAAATAGTTTTTTTTTCAGAAATATTAGTTAATAGTAATAAGCTATTAATTAAATAAAAAATACATTATCTTCCTGTACAATTCTTTATTTTTCTCTCTTTGCGCAACCGGTTTCGGTCTTTTATCAGACCTTCATCAGGCTAACTCATGGTGGTCCTCCTCTCCTGCTTGTCGAATGAGTCCTCATGAATGCCTGGTAAAAGACCGAAACCGATTGCGCAAAGAGAGAAAAATAAAGAATTATACAGGAAGACAACTTCTTTTAATTAAATTAAATTTCAATCCTGTAACACCAAGCCTCAGTTAAAGAAAAATCTATTACTTTCAATGTCTTGTAAATTAAAATTAAAAAATAAATGAATAAACATAATGATAATAAATAAATGAATAAATGAAACTGAGTCGCACCAATAGCTTGAATTATTTCCATGAAGACGTAGTAAATATTAGGGTAAGGAACAGTTATTTGGTCGGTCAATATTGATAAAAATCAATTATTATAATAGATATATGACTAAAAAAAAACACTATTTACTATCACTTTTGATGATTAACTTTTGAAGAAGCAGCTATTTTTTGAACATATTATTTTTTTTTAGTTAATTTATTACAATAAATTTCCCTTCTCCTACCACCTCCCTCCCCAAAAAATAAATTGAAGCATTATAATTGACGACAGAATATCAAATCATGTTATTACACAAGTAGAGAAGAATTTAAACTTATTTAGTAGCAAACCTCAACTGAATTAATATGGATTTAAAGCTTATTACCCCTGTGACTGCGGGACTCATTTGAGTGTTTCTATCAAATAGCGGGTCCCGAAATACAAAAAGACGTTCAAAAAACTTATTTTTTTTTTTTTTTTATAAATTTGTATAAAATACTGTATTGAGTCACCCTGCAAGATCTCAGCTCTCGAAAATGAGTTTTAACGGCAATCCCGCAACACTTGCGTATTTGCTCATTTCTGAAAAGCAAAATAACTGAAAATTATCATAAAAATAATTGTTAAAAATTAAATTATATTATTTTTGTGCACTTATAAATTCTTTTCTTACCTAAAAAGTTCCATACTGAAACATATCGCAGTTATAAATTTTATTATTGCATTTACATTTATTTTGAGTTTAAAACACTTTTATACTATATGAGAAATACATATATTGTTTTTAATTGGATGAAAAAATAATAAGACAAATAAAGTGTCATTTAAATTTTGGTATATTTTTACTTTTATTATTAATATATATATACTATATATATAATATATATATATATATATATATATATATATATATATATATATATATATATATATAATATATATATATTTAGGAACTTGCATTTATTTTTTTAGTAGACAAAGGTTCACGTGTACCAAAATCAGCATTCAGTCAAAACCTAAATTAACGAAACAAAGAAAAAATTATAAAAGGCGGGAAGCCATATATCCCGCCCGCACCAATGACACAATTCACTGTCAAGAAGTTAAATAACCCGTCGCACCAGTGACCCGACTCCTAACGGGAAGGCATGTATCCTAAAGGCAGTTAAAGTAACGTTAAATAATAAAGTTTTTACATAAATGTGTTATCTGTAGTCCAGTTTGAGGTTGATTAAAAAAAATATTGCAAAATTCTATATAAAAAAAAGAACTTATCGTAGTCTAGCCCCTTTAAAGTTCCATTATAATGGTTTCATCGAAAACAAACTTACATTTAAAGTAAATTTTGTCTAGTTTACTCTGATGCAAAGGTCAGCTACCTAAATTAAATACATTTTGAATTATCTGTTCCGATTAAAAAAAAACAGTTTCCTATTACTTTAAAAAACACAAAACTCTAAACTTTATACTTTTCTGCTGAAAATCGGACCTTCTCTTATACAAAACATTTTTATAGTTCTTGAAATTTATCACCAACCCTTTAAATATTTTTCTTTACTTAAGGGACACCTTGTACTTATATTATATTACATTTCTGGCAGTTTTAATTTCACTTCAATGTACTTACATATTGCCTGTTTATTGCTAAAAGTCATCAACTACTATTGCAACTATTGTAAATAGTTAAACTTTACGTTTTTGTTTATTCCGACCTTATTTATCAAAGAAAGTATATCTGGATGACAAAAACCATTTTAAAGTTTAATACTAATAATATGCGTTTTATTTCTTTTAAGGGATCTCAAACAGCCACATGGCCAAGCAAAAAAAATACCTGATAGCTCCAATAACCAACGATGACATCGAAAGCCTCCTTTGTTTCCTGAGGAAATTCTTCTTCAGGGATGAACCTCTGAATCGTTGCGTCGGACTTCTCGACGAGCAGCCCACCTCCGTAGATTTTGACAAGTATTGCGTAGAAACCATTCCTGATGGCAAGTAAATAATGAGAGGACATGTAATTTTTTTATTACCTCATAAGCAGCAGGAGATTTGATTGGCAGTTGTGCGAGGTTTCATCATTAATTTTGGCATTTTAATTTTTACCCTAAACTTTTTTAAACTGCTAATGATATTTTTTTTAAATGTCCTGAATTTTTGTTCATATCCTTATGCAAGTATGCTCTGACAAAATATTTTGTCAGATCTAATATTAAATTAGATTTTTTGCTGTTACAGAACTGTTTACCTTCCTCATATTTTTCCATCTTGAATAATGGAATTAATATGAACAATATAGTAAAATAAAAAATTAAATATTAATACAAATTTGTATTTATAAATCGTTTAATTTATAACAAAAGTGCAAAAATGTGCAATTTGATGCAACAAAATCCTGCAATTTAAGCCCCAAACATGCAATTTCTTGCAATATAAAATTTAACTATGTTACTCTACAGATCCTTAAACAAATAGATAATATCCGATCAAAGTAGGGGAAGTTCACTTCTTTTTCATTTGGAGGGAGAAATCACTTTCAGTGAGAGCGTAAATTTTTATCATCCTCCTTAGCGTGTGCCTCTAATACGGTGCAGGTCATTATGTCGTGCTCGCCAGTTTCCGTAATGCCATAACTGGAACACATGGAATCTATCTCCTTTTGTTTCAAAAAGTGTACATTTCGTTCCGAAATGATGGTCTCTCTGTAAGGACTTGCAAAACCCAGTAATCCAGGATTATCCGGTTTGTTGTTAATCGCGACTGGAAAGTTGGAATGAATTTTCTGAAAGTCGTTCCTAACGGGGTGGTCAACCACCATCGATTCCATTTCTCTATGGTATATTCCCGAATAATATATATTTTCTTCATTCATCATCTCCTATCCTCACACGGAGAATTTCAGAAGCTCTACGAGCCTTATCTCTTGTAGAAACTGGAGCATTTTCAAGCAGAATTCGGTTGAGAGGCATCTCGAACATTTTCAGGCAGAATAGGATTACCCTTCCTACTAACACCTGAACCGAATGAGACAGTTCTTATATACCATCTCATTACAGTCATTTAACAATTTTGATTGTAAAAAAAATCACTTAATATCTCTCAGGGTCATTTATTTATTCACGACATTAAAGTTCCGTCGTATTAATGTCTTTCTTCATATATCTTTAGTAGATTGGAAACTTGTACTTATTTTTATTATAATTAACAGCATTAACTTTTTTAATTTTGTCAGTTACCTTCGGTTACATTTCAAAACGACATTTTATACCTATGAAGCGTTTCTTTAAAAACTTCAAAAGACACATTGGAGAGCTCGCTGGATCAGAAGTCCCAAATGCTTGAGAGATTAAGTTTGAATATATATATATCTTTCTACTGGGATTGAAGTAAGTTGATAAGCCAATTTCATTTTTAAAAAATCTCCATAATCACAATCTTTAATGTATCAAGCTTAATATTTTTTTTCAAATTTAAGTTAAAATTATTCATTCATCTTTAATGTCTGAGGTTTAACTTCCTAGGTTTCTCACTAAAGGCAGTTTCACCCTCTGGCGACATCATCGGTGTTTGCCTCAATGGAGTCGTGAACAGATCAGACGACAAAGAAGAAATGGAATGCATCGACCCCAAGTTCCGCATAACCCAAGACCTGATCGATAAGATTGACATCGAAGCGGACATATTCGGAAGATTTCCGGACGTCGATAAGCTCATAGAGATCAGAGTAGTTTCTGTAGACGAAGCGTACAGAGGTCAAGGCATCGCAAAAGCGCTTTTGGATGAAACCAAGTAAGACCATTTTCAGCTGCAGTTAGTAAACAGAAAAATGTTTTATTGATGTCATGGTAAATGTTTCACAAACTTTCATCGCGAAAAAGAAGCACCGGCTATAAATTCCTATTAAAAAGACATCTCACAATATGCACCAGCACATGGGGAATATTGTGAGGTGGGGAGCGAACGTTAGTGTAAAATCAGTACTCAATACATGAGAGAGGAAGGTGGAATGGAAGATTGTACATAGAAATAGCTCGTGGGTGGGGTTGCCGAATAGGCTAACGTGTGTGTAGAGCACCGCCGTTGCCGGGCAATCTGGTACATGAGATTACTTGATAAAAATAGTCAAGAGTTCGGGGATATAATAATTACATCACCAAAATCGACATATAATTTCTTAGTCAACTCTCATTTAAATCGGGTCTTTGTTTATTGGTTTTAATTTTTGTTCGAATCAGTGGCGCCTCACCCACGAATGGTCCTGGGCTTAGCTTGTTAACAATTACCCAGAATCATCTCCCCGTTTTTATCAATAGTCCGGTCAATAACACAGTTTTAATCCATGAGAGTTATAGTTTTTTATATCGAGCTCCTCGAAAATTTTCTTTAGCTTTCACAAATGAAAAAATATTCTAATCTAAATTCATGAATTTCATTTTGAATAATCAAACTTCAAGAAAGGTACCTAGCTCAAAAGATAAAAGTACAATCAAATAAAATGTAACTATTTATCTATTTTCAGAATTAGAATTCAGTAGGAGGAAAACACAGGAACTGTGTTTTACTTATTACACATAGTAGTTATATTACTGTATCTATACATAGATTTTGTTGATTGCCAGGGCTGCCCATTCCTCCCAAGGTCGATGGCACGAGTACCTATCTCTCCCCTCCTCCCAAGATATTTTATTGCTCAACTTTACTTAAAAACAGAGTAGCTAAGGTAGAATTAGAAAAATCATAGGTCATATACAATTACACTTGCTATGTATCATGTTTTCCTTGTTTCCCTTGGTCCAAAAAAATTTAAAAACCTGTCAAAATATGCCCCCTCAAAAATTTTAATGGCGCAACTTGCGCCATGAAACCCCCTTCTGGGCACCCCTGTTAACTTCCACATGAAAATATCTGTGATTCTCATTTGCCTGAACCAAATGACGAATAACTTCTTTAGCTACACTTTTTCGTTTAATTTAAATTACCCAACCACGGAGTTATGGAATATTAGAGATATTGCCAGCTTGATCTTTTCAACAATATTTTTTACTTCTGCCATAAGACCACCAGGCCAACAGGTTATTAGTCTCTCTTAATCAAGTCCTTTCTTAGCCTTCAAATTCAATATTGGTTTAACATGTTCCGTTTATTACCCTTTTAATTATTTTTTTTTTCAGGAGAATAGCTTGTGAAAATGGTTTTCAAATGATTAAGACAGATGCCACTTCTCACTTTACGGCCCTCGCAGTAAGCAAACTTGGCTACAAATGCATTTACACCCTCAACTACGCAGATTACAAAGATGAAGATGGCAAAGTTATCTTCACTCCTGAGGCTCCTCACACATGTGTGAAGACATTAGTTTACCAACTTAACTAAGGCATAATATATTATTCCAGTTCCTTTATATGTAGCTGTAAATAACAGTTATCTGATATTTATAATTAAAAAATAACTTCAAATGTATTTCAAAATTTGTTTTATTTTAAATATTTTTTCCTTGGATGATACTACACTAACTATAATAATTAATCATATACTCGTAGGTTAGTTTTTTTTTTCAATCCACAAAAAAATCATATAAAATTAAAGGTAATGATGAAATTTTGCAAATTGGACATTTAATCCCTGGTCAAACTATTTCAATGAAAATAAGACCTAACAGTATAAAAAGAACGAAATATATATCAAAAATTCTTAGAACTCTTAAAGATAATAACTGATTAAAAGACAAACGTTATTTTACACGGATATACATTTTGCACTCTTGGAAGAACCAAGTTGAGCATCCTCCTTTTCTCAAATAAAAATAGATGCTATGTTGAAAACAGACGAAGCTGAGCTGCAAAGGATAGTCGATATCTATTGTGAGATCTGACCTCGTGAAGTTGGCCCCATCCTCAATTTTTGTTTTAATTTTTTTGTTTTGATAGACCCCTTAAGAGTTATAGAGTTCTCTATACGTTTTATAAATAGTTCTGTTGTTTAAGCCACCGAAAATAACACAAAAAGTTGCGAAAAACTAAAATCAACTTTTGTGCAACTTGAGGTGGGGGAAGCTTTTAAAACTCTAAAAAAAAAATACGGATTAATTTCTCAAAAAGGCCCTTCAAAAGTTATAATTTTTAAATTCTTTTTAGAGTTCTAATATGCCCCTAATAGTTCTAGAGCTCCCTAATATTTAAAAAAATATTTTTGTTGTTCAAACCACCGAAAATACCAAGTAAAGTAATGAAAAATAAATTTGCAGCTTGCGTGGTTAAAAAATATTATTTTTTTTCAAGAGTTTTGACAGTCCCCAAGGAGTTGTAACAATTTCTTTAACGAACTTTAGCCGTAAAATTATTATTAAAAGAGTTATAAGACTCATAAGTTGCACAAACCATGATTTTAGTTTTTCGTAAATTTACGTGCTATTTTGATATTATAAACCACAGAAATATTTGGGAACTCTAAGACTATTTTGGGAGAACTCTAAAAATAATTTAGAAATTATAACTTTTGGGAGGCCAAGCCTTTTTTTGTTGTTTTTTTTTTGGAAGGGGGAGGGTTTGAGAAATTAATCCGTCTTTTTTTAGAGTTTTGATAGCCCCCCTCCTCTTATCCAAGGAGTTTTAACAATTATCCTAATGGACTTTATCTCTAAGATTATTATTAAAAGAGTTATAAGAATCGCAAGTTGCAAAAACGTGATTTTAGTTTTTCGTATCTTTGCGTGGTATTTTCAGTGGTTTAAACTATAAACTATTCCTAAAAAGTATAGAGAACTCTAGAACTTAAGGGGGCTATCAGAATGCTCATAATTTTTTTAAAAATCGAGGATGGGCCAACTTCACAGAGCTTGAGATCTGTCCACAATATATGCTCCAGCATTTCGGTTATGGTGGGTCGGAAATCGTCGAGATTCCCAAAGACAAGCGCCATTACATTAGCTGCAGCCATAACCGCACTTCAGTTCTTCCTGTAGCTGCAAGTGTTCCCACAACCCGTTTTAGCCCTGGACCCAGGACCCAAAAGTGACCTCATCACAGGTTTGAATGTAAGTTACGAAAGTGTATGTTATTCTAAGTAAAATGAACCTTGTCTGCCATTCCAGTGCCGCTGCTTTCGAAAATGGCGGATGATTTAAAGAATACTTAGGCCAGTGACTTGAAGATCGAAAAGGGAAATATATGGCGAAAAATTGAACTTATTAATATTGAAATATAATAAACCATTGGGTAATAATTTTCAAAGATTTTATTTCTCTATTTAACGCCAATGAAACAATTTAATCTCTTTCTATTTTTTAAAATTACAAATAGAACCTTACAGACAAAGCACTGAAAGTTTTTTTTTTTTAACTAGTATATATGAGTTCAAACAGGTAAAAACAAAACTGCTAATGCGGGCCACCAAATGAAAACTCTGTATCCTGATATAGGAGGGGATGCTAGACTCCTTGTGGAGCCTAAGCAGCTCACTATTTTTCCTTCTTCGCCAATTACGCCCATTCCTGTATAGGGGTCCTCAGAATTACCCTTTCGGATAAGAAAAGCTTCTGACCACTTCGAAATTGTAGAGGCCCATTACAAAGCGACTCTGCCTCTGATACAAAGGCATTTTTACCCAATACCATAATCTTCATTTTCTCTCCATTAATATGCAGGCCGATCTTTATTGCTTCGACATCTAGCGAAAGCCATATTAATGCTCTGAAGGGATCTACCGATGATAAGGACGTCGTCTGCATAGGCCTGAACTTGGATCATTTTTGTAAAAAATTTTCCTTCCTGATTTAGTCCTACTCTATTTGTGACTCCTTGTAGAGCGATATTAAACAGGAGAGGAGCTATTGGTTCCCCTTGTCTTAGGTCCTATGTCCAGAGAGACCATCTGGGAGGCATCAGTAAGCTCTTTTAGAGCTCCAGCTCTATATAAAGTACATACATTCCAGATTTCCAATTCTATATGCCCGTTTCCGAGGTCCATGTCCTGGCCCTATCCATCATTGTGGCTTCCTTGATTGTCTATAACAGAGAAATTTTTACAATTCCTGGGGAGTCGGCGAGGAATCTATCCTCCTCCTTTATCAATTCTTGGGACTGGCAATGGTCCTACCATGACTATTTCCATTGGCAGAGTTAATTTTCCTTACAATATATTACATATATAGGTAAGTGAAAGTAAACATTTTTTAAACTGTGAATTGGATAAAAATAACGATTAACAATAAAGATTAAACTAATTTAAATTAATTATTTTGAGTAATTGTCATATTATTTACCATCATAATTTACCTTTGAAACTTCAACGAATTGGGTAGGACAAAATAACAATTTATGTTATATTTTATAATATAATATTTTCTTTATTTTTCACATAATCATTATTAAGAATAAAAAAATAACAGAATTTAGAAATAAATATTTAAAACATATACATTTTTTCTAGGAGATAAAAAAGTTATCTAAATTGTATTCAGTGTATTTTTAAAATATTTTTTTCTAGTTTGATTCATGTAAAATCATTACTCATTTATATATACAAATCAAAATTTACAAAAATAAATCTTTTTAAAAATATATTAAATTTAAATATACATTGTATTGCTATACGTATCTACATGTTTCTTTATGGATCACAGATAAACAAATTAGATCTTTTTTAAATTCCTCAATGATTTAAAAATAAATTTTACAAACATACTAAATACTTTAATGAAAAGATGATTAGAAAAAGAAAAACAACTTTCTTTTTCAAAAAGCTGGACAATTTTAAGAAATTAAAAGGAAAGAAAAGAAAAAGAAATTTTTATTTTTTTTCACAACTAGGATAATGATAAAATATATAATATGGGATAAAATGAAACATAAGAACACAAGATCTATCAAGAAAAATGAACTTAGAGATCAGTATTTCTTTACTAACATTTTTGATCTGATATTGAAGAGTAAGAACAATTACAGAAATAATTAAAGTAGAGGAACATAAAAACTATAATTTTACTGAGATATTAAAGATAGAAATATCAATTTAAATCTACCCTTGATTAAGGAAAATAATTTCATACTTTGTATGTTTTTAACTTATTTATCTCAAGCTCCATCACACAAACAAATGTAATAAAAGAAAAAAACAAAGTAAAACATATTTTAATAAGGACCAAACCAACAAAACTATTAATTCTTCAAACACCAAATAATTATTACATAAATACAGTCTCTAGGTATTGTTTTTTTTTTCTTAATGTTCATAAATAATAATCCAAATACAAAATCAAAAGTAGTACAAATAAAAAGATAAAATTGAATGATTTCTTCCAAAATTCACAAAAGTCAGTACCTAATAAAATCAAGTTCTGACAGATTCTGAGGTTTTAATTAATACCTTAAGTTTATATTCTTCATACTTTTCATAGTAATAAATACTTTACTTTGCATTACTAAAAATACCAAACAACTAAATAACAATTAACAATTGCTGTTTGGTTGGTGAAGTTAAGTATGGTTACTTTGGTCAACCATAATAAAATAATGTTTTAGAAAAACATCTAAGAAAAAATAAACTTAATGTCAGATTATTTATTTAATTAGATAAACATTCCCTAAATAAAAACACTATTTATAACAACAAACTAAGAGAGACTGAGATCGAGATCCGCCTTCAAGCTACCTATAAAGAAACAAATCAAAACAATCATTATTTAAAACACAAAAAGTAATATTTATAAGTGTATAGTCTTGACCTTTCTTCATTGATTATTTTCTCCTCACTTCTTGTCCATATGTCTAATTCAACAAATTAATAACAGTAATTTATAGTGTTTTCTTTATAATTTTTAATTGGAGGTTTCAGGAATACGTTGTCCCAATTATCATTAGTCAAACTTGTTTTAGGACTAATGCAATGTGCACACCCAAATAGAAATAATAAAGTAAACACTATAACTTATGAATGTTTATTTGTTAAATTAGACCTATGGGAAAGAAGTGAGAAGAAAAGAATAAATAATATTTTATAGAAAAAATAGATTACAAACATATTTTTTGTAATTCTACATCACAAGCAACATACACGTAAAGTTTTACAGGAGAATTTTTGTCAAAATATTGCAATAGTGGTTCAAATGCTTCTTCCACATCACTAGCTTGGTTTGATAAAGTTCTAACTGACATTTTTGGTCAAAATTAGATTATTGCTGCTTATGACTCACTTTTATCTATTGCACATGAGTACTAACTTTTTTTGTGATCGGTTGAGAAATAGCGAAACTACTGATGTGAAAAATTTCGAACTGTATGGAATTTTTTTATATGTTTATAGGTTTGACAAGGTTGTATCTGCAATTGGTAATCTACGTAATCCTTTCTAATGGATAAGTTAGGGTTTTCAGTAGAAAGTTATAGAGAAGTCCTCATAATTTCCTCATTTATGTTTTTTAGAATTTTTTATTATTTTATTAAGTATAAATACAGTCTGCCACACTGAAGGGCATTGGTACTAGGGCTATAGTAATTTATGTTTCTGAGATCCTAATTTGGAATTTCAACATTGATAA